ACAGATGCTGCCAGACCTGCTGAGCTTTTCCAGCAACTTTGTTTTTGCTCCTGATTTACAGCATCCGCAGTTCTTTCAGTTTTTATAAGAGTAGGCCACTTAGTCTTTCAAGGCTGCAATGCCACTCAATAAGATCGTAGCTGATCTGATTTTAACCTCAACTCTACGTTCCTGCATATCCCTGATAATCTTCATTCCTGTGATAATAAGAATCTATCTGCCTCTGCCTTAAAAATGTTTGAAAATCCTGTATCCATTGTCTTTTGAGGAAGGGAATTCCAAAGACTTTTATTCCTCAAAGAAAATATTGTGTCTCATCTGTCTTGAATGGGCACCCCCTTATTTTTAAACTATGAGCCCTAGTTCCAGATTTTCCCATAAGAGGAAACATCCTTTCCACATTTATCCAGGCAAGCCCCCTCAAAATTTTATACATTTCAATTAAGTCACCACTGACTCTTCTCGACCCGAAACATCAGCTTTCCTGCTCGGCCTGCTGTGTTTATCCAGCTCTACACCTGGTTATCTCAGATTTTCCAGCATCGGCAGTTCCTACTATCTCATAAACAATGTACTTTTTTTTTATTCATTCATGGGATGAGGGCATCGCTGGCCAGGCAGCATTTATTGCCCAGAGGGCAGTTAAGAGTCAACCACGTTGCTGTGGGTCTGGAGTCACATGTAGGCCAGACCAGGTAAAGATGGCAGTTTCCTTCCCTAAAGGACATTTATAAACCAGATGGGTTTTTCCGACAATTCACAATGGATTCATGGTCATTGTCAGATTCTTAATTCCAGATATTTATTGAATTCAAATTTCACCATCTGCTGTGGTGGGATTCGAATCTGGGTCCCCAGAACGTTATCTGGGTCTCTGGATTAACCGTTCAGCGAAAATACCACTAAGCAATTGCCTCCCCAGAGTCTAAAACATGAACAAGGTCAAACGGTGATATAAAATACTAAAATTAAATTTGTCAAGGCACTAAGTGAAATAAAGATTCCAATCACTGACTCTTAGTAGACTCCATTTATCAGTTAAATATTGTACATTTATGATGATTAAAACTGACAGAATTGAAATATGAGAGCTCTCATGATATGCCTCTTGAAGGCAAACAGATCCATGAGGATCAGTGTTAATATTGCAGAGTTTGTTTGTATATTACTATCCTAATTTTAGCATGTTTGACATTCTACATCTTTCTTGTTTTGAATGAGTAACATTTCAGGTCAATTAATTGTTTCTCTTGACTGTTGCTATCTGACTGCTGGGTATTTTCAGCACTGTTTTTACATGAAATTCATGACGTGGAGGTGCTGGTGTTGGACTGGGGTGGACAAGGTCGACAGTCACACGACACCAGGTTATAGTCCAACAGGTTTAATTGAAATCACAATCTTTCAGGGCAGTGCCCAACTGACGAGGGGGGGGCTGCACTCCAAAAGCTTGTGATTTCAATTAAACCTGTTGGACTATAACCTGGTGTTGTGCATCTTTTGACATGAAATTCAAGACAGTAATATAAAATAATGCAACAATATTCATGTGCTGAAAGCATGAATAATTTATTTCTTTTTCACAAGTTGTTGCATATTATACAGATTATCACAACAGATAAATAAAAAAAAAGGTTCTGCATGTAGCCTGTAAACAGATGTCAGAACGTTGCCAATATATTTCAAGTGGCTTTGTAACTTTCTATTTCAAAGATCTCTGACCATAAGATCAGACAAATAATCAAAAGTAGACTGGAAGTTACTGAATTTTAAAAAATGAATTTTTGAACCTGTGCCAATTTGTGATTCTTTCAGCTGTTGCTCAGAAGGAAGGGTAGTGTAATGATTCACCCGCTCAACTGCATTCATCTGCATTTCCATATCTGCAAATTCCCGGATACACCAATTTAAATAAGTAGACATCTGGAAAAGAAATGTGGAAAACAATGGCTCAAATTAAAATTATCCACACTATTGTTATATCTCATGGTTTATTAAAGAGTGGCACTGAAAAGATAGAATTATGGATATTGCAGCCAACAAAGAGATCATTTGGTCTATTATGTATTTGCTAACAATTCAGTAGTTGTCTACTGTAAACCCAATTCTCTGGCCCTGACTTACTAACCATTTAGAAACCTCCTTTCAAATAATTGTCTAATTCTATTTTTTTTAAAAAAATCCGTTCATGGATGTGGGTTTTGCTGTCTAGGCCATTTTTTCCCTATTCATAATTGCCCTGAAGAAAATAGGAGTGAACTTAAAACTCTGCAGCCTTGGGATACAAGTACACCCATAGAACAGTCAGGAAGATAGTTCCAGGATTATGACCCACCAACAGTGAATGAAACTGATATATTTACAAATCGGGATGTGTGGCTTGAAAGGGAACTTGGAATTGGTGACATTCCCTCGTATCTGCTGCCCTTGTCCTTCTAGATGGTAGAGGTCATGAGGTTGGAAGGTGCTGTCAGAAGTCTTGGTGAGTTATTGCAGTGCAACTTATAGGTGGTACACACTACTGCCACTGTGGTGTTGTAGGGAGGAAATTCGGAAGATGGTGGATGGAGGGCCAATTAAGTGGGCTTGCCTTATCCTGGATATATCAAGCTATTTGAGCATTGTTGGAGCTGTACCAATCCAGGCAAATGGTGAATATTCCACCACACCCTTGACTTGTGCCTTGCTTGTGGTGCAAGTGCATTAGGGAAACACAGGTTAGTAACTCGCCATAGAATTTGTAGCCTCTGACCTGGTCTTGTAGCTGTAGTAATTATACAGCTAGTCCAGTTGAGTTTCTGATTAGTGGTAACCTTCAGGATTTTAATAGTCGGGTATCAGCAGTAGTAATGCCATTAATTATCAAGGGATAATAGTTAGATTTTCTTTTATTGGAGACGGTCACTATCTGACACAATGTGGCATGAATGGGACTTGCCACTTATCAGCCAGGACTATACCAGGTCTTGCTGCTTATGCACCTGATTGTTTCAATATCTGAGGTGTGCTTCAACAGCCACCTGCAGGAAAGTGTTTCCTGTTCTTATTAACAGTGTAAAAAACTTTCCAATTTTCACATTATTGTTTATAGTGATAACCTGGAATACTGCTGTAGCATCTCAATCATCACTGATCAGTAAACTCAACACAAACCAGGAGTAATCTCATGTTGTGCAAGGTTCTGTACTGCACATGTTTACAATTTAGAATTGGCATCTACCAAATGAGAAAATGCAAGAACAATAAAAATCCTGGTTCTTTTTGTAAAGAGTTTACCTAGGAGGAAACACTGGAGTGTTTAGGATTGCAGTTGAGATTGAAATTTAATGAGTGAAAAATAAATTTTAAACTGATCTTGTAATTTTTTTTTAACTCAAAAGGAAAATAAACATTTCTATTTATCTACATGAGGAATCAAAATCAAAAAAGGCAAATTATGAAATGGCTGTTCTAGTAGGAGAGGGGACTTTTTAAAAGAAAAGTTTTTATGCATTTAAATATGTTAAAAATGGTCTTGCTTCGGCAACTTGGTCCATCAAACTGAAAGCTCATGAAAGGTATTCAAGAAAGGCCTCATTTATAACAATTCTACCACTGAGACTGATTATTCAGTCTTTGATATTTGTTGCCTATCCTTAAGAATCAAACCCATATGACAGTTTTCTTGCACCTGAAAATAATTCTACACAGTAAAGATAAAAAGAGAAACAGATTTTGGAGGTTCATGTAGCTTGAATACAAATTGTGAGAGATTTAAAACAAAGTTGAAATGCTGGAAATACACAGGTAGAATGTGTAGAAATAGAAACAGAGATTGCAAACTACCACGCTGTGAACTAAGTGTAGAACATGGCCTCTTTCGGAGTAACTGACTTCCTGACCCCATCAATGAGAAAGCTTGTCAGATCAAGCGCCAATTAACCTCCTAAGAGTTGACTGGGAGCTTCTCAGCAAGTCATGAGCCTCGATACTAAAGTCCCACCCCACCAGAAGTTGCCAAAGGCCAGCAGCTTCAAGGTTCTAGTGATCACCAGCGGAGGCCCTGGCTTAAGGCAAGGAAAAGGTAAGTGCTTTACCTTCAGGCCCCACTGGATGGGATCACTGCTAAAGTTCTCCCCACTTGCCCCACTTCTTCATTGGCCTCAGATTGGGGCAATTCTGAGACCCCCAACTTTTCTCACCTCTGGTAATTGGGCCAATGGCAAGTTGAGGCTCTTAAGTAGTTAACTGGTCCTTAACTGGCTATTATTTCATCAGTTAAGGGCCTTATCTGGTGGTGAGTCAAGAAACTCACCCAAGGACCTTCATGCCCAGAACTTAATTGTTGAGATATCAAGAAGACTGAATTGTTTGCCCTTCTTTCCTTCTCTAAAGCATGTTTCAAGTCAATTACCTGTTATCAGAGGTCATCAATCTGAAAGGTTCACTCTATTTTTCTCTTCCCAGGTGCCAGCTTAACCTACAAGTAGTATGTTTTGTTTCATATTACACTTCTAGCATCTTCCATTTGCATTATATGTAATTTTTCTCTTAAATGCAAGACAATGCCTAGAATTCCAAATTTCTTCTAGAAACGCTGTCAAAAATTGACTTAAATTCTTATACTTGACTTTACAAATAGTGGCTTTCAAAAGAGTTAAAAGAAGGTTAATTGGATATAAAGAATGTGCAAGAGTTACAGAGAAAAACAGGGGAAAGGCATGAGTGAACTGTTCATTCAAAGAGCCGGTGCAGGCACAATGGGCTAAATGGCCTAATTCTGTGCCATAAAGATCCTGTGATATTGGCAGCAGTACCTTTGGAAACATACTACCATCCAAAATTATAACTTGTTTTCTCATCTGTACCTTTAAGGCATATAAAATAGCAAGGCCTACGAGTCCAGCTTGCAGGTAGCCCAGTGTTGCTGTCAATAATGAGCAGAGTGCTGAAGCAAAGACAATACTTGTTCCAATGAAATCCTGAAAAATGAAATGAACATTAGAATTATATACTTATTCATTCAAATCCAGGAATCAAAAAGCTTAATGATATTAATTTGAGTCTTTTGGGAACTAAATTTTAAAATTTTGACTCGGTCTTCTAATGTAATGTTTTCAAATATCATTTTAATAAGATCTATACTGATTTATTCAAGCTCAACTCAAAATTAAAAGCATCTCAATAATTAAAAAATATGATTCATTTGAAAACTAACCAGTCGTATTCCCAGCCACCTGTTTACTGTGTTCAGATATAAATAAGCAATGGTGTTATAGTCAATCTTGTTAAGAATTTGTTGGAAAAAATTGTCTTCATGTCTGTATGCCCTGATAGTTGTCAGACCTCCAAGGGTCTCCGAAAAATGTGCAAACACAGGTGACTTAGTGATGCTGTCCAACCGCTGAAGTTCCCTATAATGATTAAGGATATGATTTAATTACAGGTACATTCATAGCGCTGAATCAGTTTAAACAATTGCATTATATTCCATTAAGAGACTTTGGAGGTTCTGCCAAGCTTCAATAGAAAAGCTTTGCACCAGAACCAACATCTCTCTGTCCAGATGCTGTTCACATTGACAGCAAGTTGTCATATTTTTAAAAAATACAAAAGGTTTCATTTTTCTGAAACACCTTTCCTCCATTCAATGTCAAACTTGAACAAGATTCCCACTGGCAACTTATGGAATATCAAAATTACAGAAAAAAAAAATCAATAATCTAGAATCAAGAGCAAAGAACTTGATAATATTTTAAACAAATTCTTTAAAGAAAAACCAACCATTTTTAAAAATGACTTCCTGTAAGTGAAACTGTTATCATTCAAAATTTCATCACCGAACTCTCCAAGAACATAGCTACATGCAGAGTTAAGCTTCTTCTCTACTGTGCTGGAAACTACCAGAGTAGTCAGTGCATTTAAAAGCAGCTAATGCAGCACATTTAATTGGTTGGCTTGCATCAGCATCATAAAGTGCATTTGTAGTGAGTTAGCAGTGTCTTTTGAATGGAAAGAGAAATCAGCCAAATTGTACAGTAAATAAAAGAAAAACTGGTACATTTTGAAAGGGCTCTGAAGTTGCTCTAAGCACGTCCCACATAGACCAATTTCGCCCCTTTGCAATTAGTCACGTAGAATGAAGTCTTTTCTATCAGTTTGGCTCGAAGACAAATTTCAAGAGATGAAAGACCGGTATCAAATCCAATGCAACAGCCAACAAGTTTACAGAATTTTTTTTAAAGGAGATATCAGTGCTCTGATATTTTAAATTTTTAATCTTTAAAACGTTATTGGTCTCAGCGCTGAATCTTGCTAGTTCAATTTTAGCATCCTTATTAGAACCTCTGATGCTGAATTCGTGAGAATCTACTTGAGTAAAATGTGTCAAAACATCCTTCCAAAAAGACTCAACAAATATAGAAGATGTTAATAGGTTATTTTGAATAGCAACAAATACAGCTGTTACATCTATAATAGTATGCTGATTACAGACTACAAATGAAGCATTCGTGGGCTGAATTTTACAGGGAGGGGAGCTATTCTGTGTTGCTACCCCGCACTTGAACGAACACTGGACCGGGTCACAACAAATCCATCCTCAACAATAAGATGCTCTCTGCTCTTCAATGGATCGAAGTCCCATTCTTGTGGGCACTGGCTAATCTCCAAGGAAATTCAGAAAAGAAAAATAATGGACTCATCTTTGCTCCAAGCTAGGAATCCTGGGATTTTAGGGGACAGATTTAGGGAACCTAGGTGGGGGGAGAGGGCCTAAGTTTTGAAGGCCAGGTATGGAAGAACAGAAGAATATCATCTTGGGATGTGCTCAATGCACCCCCTGAAAAGATGCGCACCACATCGCCTTTCTGTGCATTTACAAAGCTATTTCAAAAACAACCTTCTGAATCTCACCGGAGTGCCCATGTATGCTATTTTATGGCATAAGCAGTCTATTACTTTGGGTCTACTGGCTTGTTAACAAGCTCAATTTCATATTCTGTAACTAGATAAGGAATTAAATTCCAAATTCTTCACATAACACGCTTGGCTAAGAAGCAGATGATCCACATTCAAACTAATGAAGTTTTTTCACTAGCTTTTAAAATGCAAGGGAGGCCAACTCGATATATTGAACACATAAATTAAGCCGCATATTACCGTTCTGAGATTTTCAAAGTAATGATTTCACGGTGTATCCAAGTTCCACAGTCCTGACCTGGGAACACTTATGACTAGAGCCAGAGCTGACATTTAACTCAGAAACTGATTCCCCAGTATATATGCAAAGCAATAGCTTCTTCCAAATGTGGCCAAGGAGGGCACATTGAAGATCTATCTTATGGAAGTTCCTATGCTTACCCAAGTCTAGGGGTTTGTTGCAGTTTGTTACAGACAGGGTGTGCCGCTTAGTCCATGGATGGTGTGCTCCAGCATTACCTCAACGAGGAGTATCGTACGAGGCAGCATTGTTAGCCACATCAACCCAGTGAGGACTTGTTTGAAAAGTGCTTTCAAAAGAAACTGGAGTGCTGCCAGCATTCTCTGTTTAATCCTAGCTGCAAGTACAGCTTACAGGTATATTCTTTCTCAACTTTTATTAAACAACAGGAAAAGTGAAGGTTACAAATTCATGCAGGCCTTGACAACATCTGATATTCCCTCATTCAATCATGGAAAGGTTTTATGCTAGTGTAGATGTAATGGAAAAAGAAACTCTTCAGACAGCATTAAAATATGTCTGGTACGAAGGAAGGGTAGTCTCTCTAACTTCATTCTTGCAACTGCAGTTACAATGACAATCAATCAACAAGCGCCACCTCAGCATGCCCAAGCTGGTGATGAAAAAGTGAATAAATATGTTATCCTATTTACAATGAAGTCTCACCCGTGCTACCTACGTGCCCTAAAAAGATGTACTTTTCCTTTCCTTCCCACTACATCCAGGTGAAGTCCCATAGTGTGGAACTTGCTGGTCTTGGAAATTTGACAGGCAATCACAGGCTGTTTGTAGCTTGGTGGTCCAGACATGTTGAATGCGTCTTGGCCAGACGCAGGCTCACTGTCCTGGGCTCAGCTTCCATGGGTTTGGGGATCGCAGGTAGAGTGGAGGTCAAGGAGCTGGAATGTCCTGAGAGGAAACTTCTAGGGGGCCTGTATGTGGTTCCTGCTCTAGTTGATATCTACCGGCACTACCCTATTTCTTGGTGAGGTCAGGTTCCCACCAATAGCTCCACTCTAATGGTCTGCATGTCCACTTCAGGGACTGAGTAGCAATCTCAGTTTTTCAATTTAAATGACTGACCCTAAAAACAACCTTCACATTCCATTCTGCCCTACACTCCCTGCCAACATCATCAGTTTGCTCCTCCCCATGCTCCCACTGAATTCATATTTAACTCTTCATCTCCCTAAGCCCCAGGCTTAGTCATGCCAGATATTGTTATGCACTGTCCTCTCCTACCGAGGGCAGGGTGGCAGTGACTGACTGTGATCCCTCCCTCTCCTGCAGCACTTTGGCCCTCCCATGCTCTACTATCTCCCATGATTAGATGGTGAGCTGCCCCTCCTCACAATATTGCCCCTTCTGCATCCCAGCATGTTACTTTCAATCCCCACAATTCACTTCGCCAACTTTCCCATTCCACTTTCATCTCTCCTGATAACTTCCAGTGAATATACCCCCGGGACTGACAAAACTCACCAGCCCCGAACAATTAGGAACGACAGGTCCGAGTGATAACTGACCAGACCCTGATATTTATGCAACTTCCAAACTGATTTAACCATTAATCCCTTACTAGTTGCACTGGACTAGTAGGACTGACTGCGGCCCACACCCCTTCCCCCAAGACTGTAATGACACAGACAACCTGAGCCTGAATACACCAAGTGACCAACTCAACATATCCAAGCCCCTGCACTGATATTGTTCGATACCCTTGACCTACTGTGCTGGATCTCCCTGACTGACGATGGTCCCCTTTGACTTTGCTGAGGACTACTCCATTTAAACTTTGAGATGTGGCCATTTGGTTGAAGCACATTCAATGCATTTTTGTAGGGGGAGGGAGAGGGACCTTGTCAGCTGCTAGCAAATGCTGCCGGTGTGACACCAACATAGCACAATGCTATGTAGTGTCATGTTCACCACCTTGCTGGGAAACATGACTAGCTGCCTGGTTTTCTTTCTGCACTAAAAGGCAAGACAAAGTTATTCAGTCCTTAAGATCTGGCTGAAGTGCTAATATGCTAAAAGACAACGCAGGGCGGTATACTGTGTGCATCCAAGTAGGGGGCAAAGTTAGTGAATGCTAAGAAAGCAAGTTAAGACCCCTGATGATGCACCTGGTTTCAATTTATGAGATGGCCTGGCTTTAGCAGTACAATGAATGGCATTGGTAAGCCCCAAACTGCAATACTGAAGTGGTGAATTACATTATGAGCATCAGAAAGGTGCATGACTATTGCTAGCCTCTGTGGATAAAGGATTCAGGCAAGTTCTGTCCACATAGTTGGGAAAGGTTGGCCAAGTTCAATACCCGGAGGTCAGCGAGTTACAGCTGCCAGATACCCACTCAGACTTTTATGTCAGGAATTATGACTGTCAATACAGCGTGGAGCTGGAGTAACACAGCAGGTCAGGCAGCATCAGAGGAGCAGGAAAGTTGACATTTCGGGTGGTGGGGTTGGATTGCAGGTGGCGAAACTGGCAGAGGATGATGCGCTGGATGCAGAGGTTGGGGAGGTGTCATATGAGGACCAGGGAGACACTGTCCTCATTTTTGTTGGGGTGAAGGGGTTTGAGGGCAGAATTGTGAGAAATGCAAGAGATGCAATTGAGGGCATTATGAATCACCGGAGGGTGTAAATTACAGACCTTGAAGTAGGAGGACATCTGGGATGTCCAGGAGCAGAATGCTCCATCTTGGGAGAAGATGCGGCAGAGGCAGAGGAATTGGGAGCATGGAATCGCATTCTTGCAGGAGGATGGGTTACAGGAGGTGTAGTCAAGGTAGCTATGGGAGTCAGTGGGTTTGAAATAGATGTCAGTGTTGAGACAGTTACTGGAGTTGGAGATGGAGAAGTCTCATTTCTCTGCGAAAATGGAAATCTGCATATAAATCAGGTGAGTTTGGGTAATTAGGAGGTGTTAATGCATGCAAATAGGCCTCTCACCATTCACACCAAGAGTCTCATCTAGCTGTTAAAAATCTTGTGTGGAATATAGGATTTATTTTCTTGCTGTCAAAAATCACATTTTTCCTGTTGTTACCATATTTTCCCAACTGACTCATCATTGCCCACATCATTCAGGGGCTGGGAAAATTCCTCCTACTACCTGTCAGACTTTATTTTAACCACTTTTTTCTGGATTCATCTACTTGTTTCATTTGAATGCTAAACTAACTTTAACACAAAAACTATACACTTGACAAGACAGTTCACACTTTGAAAAAAATTAAAAACTATTTTACATTCTTGTTTGTTTGCAGCCCAAGTTAGATCAAAATTAAACAGGACCACTATTCAAAATCCAAATCAACATGTCTAGTCACAGCTTGGGGAACATTCCTTAAATTCTGAAGTGTAAAAATGAACTGCCCTGCATTTAAATTTCACACGTGAGCAACAGCACAAAAAGAATGTGTGTTAAATGTGATTTATTAACCTTATGAATGATATTACTTTTCCAATTAATAAACAATACAAACTTTAATTGACATTTCTATGCTCATGTTTACTAGCCAAAAACTAGTCTTATCCTGCAGAGCTGAACAACGATCACCACAAACTCACAATAACGTACTTCAAAAGGTCCTGTGTCATATTAATGGGGTAATAGAAAACAGTGACAGTGTAATGCTAAGTAAACTAGAAGCTTCTGTTTCTAACAAGATTCCTGATCCAGATATTCTCCTTACAACTTATAAAAATGATTGCTTCCACAATAGCAAAACAAAAGAAATTTGAAACAAAGTCAGACACAAATATTGCCAATCATGCAATGTATAAGATACTTGCAAGAAATTTACCTGGAAGATGCTCTGAAATACATTTGAAGAAAATAATAGAGAACAAGTAAGGGAATAACTGGAAGGAGAAAAAATGGAGCCACAATGCTATTGATCACAATGGCACTTAAACACATAATAATGTGCCACATGAGTCGTTCCAGGTTTGACGGAATTTGATCATCTATGGTTTTGAAATCAGATGAAAACCTGGAAATAAACAATGATTCAATGAATTTTTGCACTGATATCCGATTAAACCAATCGACAAAGACCCACAGTGTATTGATTTACATTTTGCAGTAGTCCAAAGTGTTCCATTAATTGCAAGTGACTTGTTTCTCCACTTTTTTTTTTAAAATCCCCCAAGCCCTACAACCTGGTCCAAGTCTTCACCAACTCTGGTCTGTTCAGCATTTTTAATTTGATCACTTTACCATGATACTGTGCCATAAGCTACTGTTAATTTCCATTTTCCCGCCAACATGTGATAATTAACAAGCTGCTTCTGTAAAAGATTACTTTAATAGTTGCCCTTAGAAAGGAGGGAATTCTTATTATACAAACTGTGATCAAGTATTTTGTTTTGAATATAAGAAAGATACTCGGAAGAGACCTAAGCAGTGACACACTAAGATACAAATTCTATCTTTAATTCAAAAGAAGAAGTTTAAACACTCAAAGTAAATTTGAGTGAAAAAGGAAACTTGAATTTTAACTGAACAACCACATAATGTTCTTTCTTAGTAGCTGCAATTGCCCCAGGTGAATTGGTTGTGGCTATGTATTTTAAGTTCTGGTATAGCCTACATTTCTGGTTAGCTATTCACACACTTCAGTCTCACTTTCCTTGATAATTACAAGCTTTGTAATGCTGCACTGCCCGTCATGCTACACAATAATAATTTAAGAAAAATTATCATCTGGAAGTGATCTATATAATTAATGTAATTTTTCACAATATATACCTGTTTAGAATTCTTCCAACAGGTGTGGTTTCAAAGAATCTTAATGGAAGAGTTGTAACATTTTGCAGCATTTTTGTGAACAGATATTTTGAAGCACGGATACCTGCAATACAAGAGAAAATAAGGAATCCAATATGATCTTAGAATGAACATTGATTTATCAATTTAAGTATGAACAATTCTCAAGAACATAAAAAGAAATAAACATTCACACTTGCTTTGTTAAATTACAAATCAATGCTTCTGCTAAATTGAACTGTCAGATCAAAAATAAACAGACCTGAAATAACATGTGCGAGGGAACTTAACAAAGCACATAAGATTCCACTACAAGTCAATCCAATATATCCATAAAGGAAATGATTCAAAGTGGCACTTTCCACATTATTTCCATACTAAGGATATAAAGAAAACAAAAGAATGAATATTATTAGGTAAAAGGACACGGATCTTTATTTAGCAAAAATCTAAGTATTAACTCTAGTCTAAATTTAGTGGTAGAATTAGGGTTGTAAAAGAACTTTTGGAAAAACAAGTCAAAAAGCTTTTGATAGCAGACCTGAGTTTCTGTTGTCTCGGAATGGTTCCCTGCAGATGACCATTCAGCTAGCCAGAAATCAACAGCCGCCAGTAAGCTTTGTTTTGTTATCACAGCGAAAATGAGAAACAATGTAAAGAAAATGCCAATGGCGCGGGCATAACGCAAGTAGATTTGTAGGGGTATGGATCCTTCTTCTCTTTCCTCTTCTTGAATCAGTTTCCCTCTCAAATTATCAACAGGTTTTTTCTCCATTTTTGAAACTTCATCTCCCATTTCAGCTTCAGTGTCCTTTTCTTCTTCATGGTCACCTAATAAAATGCAATTTCACACATTTGTAACATGTAGAAAAAAAGACGTTAAAGAAAAACCAAAATGCATATACACAATTGGCTGTAATAATTCTGTTTTGTAACTTGCAACATAATGTTGCGCCAGTCTCTAATTGGCCCATGCCAAATACACTCCAGTTCTATCCCTTAGTCACTTCCATACCCCTACCAACTTATGACTGTATCACTATGTACAGCATAAATGAGGGCAAAACAGTGGTTACTCATTCCAAAGTCCAGCAATTGTATGCTGCACACCTCTGATACACTGTCAGCATGTATTACTCATGTTAACTGGAAAGAGATACTTAAATCTTGCAAGATAGCTTTTTAATATGAACTTAAGAATTATGAATGGGAGGCCCCTCTAGCTTGCTCTGTCATTTTCAACAAACTGATCTAATTGTGTAATTGTAGCCTCAGCTCCATATTCCCATTTACCACTGATACCATTGACACCTTTATTAGTCAAGAATCTTTCTCTCTCTACCTTAAAAATATTCACTTTCCCTGCCACATGTTAGGAATCTGATTTTGGGCCTCTCACTCAACTATATTCACTTGTCCACCTTGCCTCATCTTACTTCCTGCTCCCAGAAATAGCGTAAGATTTTGCCTGAGGAGCAAATGAGAATCAAGTCATGTTAGAGATGAGTTAGGATTTTATGCCAGATGCGGTGGCATTTTGGTTTAGTTGAGTTTTGTAGGGTGGCTTGACATCGGAAAAGTCAAATCAGGAGGTGACAATAGATCTGCTAGAGGGAAGCAATATGTGATAAACAAATCAAAGTAAAGTCTAGATTGTTTGATTGGGATCAAGATGCAAGTTATTTATGTTTGAAGATAATGGCAACTTGTCACTTACAGCAGATACAGAGAGTCTCCAAAGTCCCAGAAAAAAGTGTTGAGAATGTTGAGGGTCATCTGATAACACTTTTGGTGAGATTTATCCACTTTAAGTCCCATTAATTTCTCTAATACTATTTCTTTTTACTAATATTAACATCTTGCAGTGCCTTGTTTAAACTGGTCCATAGATTCTCCATTATTCATGGGAGAGTTTTAGTATTTAACTCGAAGACAAATGCAAAGGGCAGAATCTTGCAGGGCGTAGGTGACATGAGTTCTAACGAGATGAATGAGAAAATCGGATGAGAAATCCAAAGTGGCCAATCTTGATATTGAGGTCGTCTCGCTCCATCTTTTACAATCTTCTCAAGTGGCATGTTGAGATTCTCTCGCAGCACAACAAGCCAATAATAGGGATTAACACTTATTAAATGCCTTGTTAGCAGAACAACTCACTTTTTCAATATTCAGCCTCCTATCATACAAAATTCACTAAGCTAGCTCGACATCAGGGAAACTTGACAATGAAACCACAATGGATTCCTGGTGGATTCAGCTCACTACTTATTCTGATTAACCTTCAGATACCAACATCTCAGGACACAATCTAGCCACACACTGGAATTCAATGGGGCCGGCCTTTAAGAACCCTCATGGCACATCTTTGATACACTCACAAGAAACTTCTGCATTTCAATGTGACAACTCATGTTACAAGAGCAACTAATATAATGCTGCAGCTAGGACACCGTGCACCAGGAACAGCTAGGACACACACCAGCTGCATCTCCAGGCTACTTGCTTGGAGCCAATAAAGATTAATTCCATACACAACAAAAGCAAAATTTGCTGGAAAAGCTCAGCAGGTCTAACAGTATCTGTGAAGAGAAATTAGAGTTAACATTTCAGGTGGAGTGACCCTTCCTCGGAACTGACCAACTCTGATTTCTCTTCACAGATGCTGTCAGACCTGCTGAACTTTTCCAGAACCTTCTGCTTTTGTTCCTGATTTACAGCATTTGCAATTCTTTCAGTACAAGATAAATTCCATTGTAGGTGCAAATCTATTAGATATGGTGAAACATATAACACTGTACAGTGAAATGCATACTACTGAAATGTCCACATTAGTTGTGTTCGACATATCTTAGATATATTGCAGCATGTTCTTAGCCATATTTTTATCTTTGAAGATTAGAACAACAATATTGAATGCATTTTATCCTAGAAGACATACTTTTTGCTGTTAGGCTTTTCCAGGCTTTTACTAGGTCTGGATTTTGTTTAGAGATGTCATCATAGGTTCCCTGGACTTCAATCTTCCCATCCTGCATTACAATGATCTAAAAACGAGTCAAACACAGTACAAAAGATTACATATATAAAGATTTACTTATTGCAGCTCACTTGCATTATTTAGACAATTATTTCTGTTGAACTAAACTTTTTGTTGATCAGAAAATCGAATAGATCCACTAAAAATCAGAACTTACAAAGTATCAAAGAACAAAAGCAGGCCATTAAGCCCAGTGTTTATGCTCCAAATGAACCTTCTCCCACCCTTCTTTGTTTAACCTAATCAGTATATCCTTTTATTCTATCACATTTCACTATCTCTCAGTGACCAGTAGTTACCTAATTTCTCTGAAAATGCAGTTATGCTATGTGTCACAACCACACCTTTCTGTATAGTAAGTACAAAATAAATCCTCTATTTCTTTCTATCTGTATGCACGTTAACACGGAAACACAGAAAATATGAGCAGGAGTAGACCATTCTGCTCTTTGAACTGACTACTCTGGTAAAGAACCTTCTCATCTCAGTCCTAAATAGCCTATCTTATGTTTGTAGACTGTGACCCCTGGTTCTGACCTCCCCAGTCATTGGGAACATCATCCCTACATTCACCTTGTCTAGTCCTGTTAGAATTTTATAGCTTTCTAGTGAGATCTCTCCTCATTCTTCTCAACTTCAGTGAATATAGTTCTAACTGATCCAGTCTCTCTTCATGACACCACACAATAACTTTACACATGTCTCAATCATTTTTAGGTGCTCTGGTGGGTATTTCTTCTCAGAACAAGAGAATGTATTTGTAATGTAAAAGCAAAAAATTGAAAAAATCTGAAATAAAAGTAAAAATGCTGAAAATACTCAGCAAGTCAGGCAACATCTAGGGTGAAAGAAACACAGTTAATATTTCAGGTCAATAACCTTGCATCAAAACTGGTACAAGTTAGAAGTATACTAGGTTTTAAGCAAGCACAAGTGGGGATGGGTAAAGGAAAAAAAAAGAGGAAGTCTGTGATAGGTTGGAAGATGTGAGAGACTGAATGACAGAATTGGAGGTGCAGTGCTAAACACACGACTAAAGAAATAAAAGCTCTTTCCAGAGGAGGTGCAATTGGCAGAAGGATGAACAATTGTGATCTGAACGTGGAAACAAGAGGGAAAACAAGTGCAATGCCATAATCTAAAAAGAAAACGAAGAAAAGGAAACAAAATGGGAGCTGCAGTTAGGCTTTAAGTTTTTAGCATCAATGTTGAATCCAGAAGGCTGTAAAGTGCTGAAGATGAGACACGTTCCTTGAGTTTATGGCTTCGCCAGAGCAATAAAGAATCCAAAGGACAGATAGAATGAGACAAGGTGGAGAAATAAAATTATAGGTGACTTGAGCTCTAGACCATGCTATTCAAAAATCCTTTCACAGGATGTGAACATTGCTGGCAAAGCCACCATGCTTTCTTGACACTGCTGTCAGTCTGAAGTATTAGGAACTGTTAGGTGCAATTAGGAAGGGAGTCCCTACAGCTGAGAGAGGGGAAGCTGTATCTAGCAACTTCAACTCCAACCCCCAACCCCAACTTAAACAACTGAAAGCAAACCCAAAACCATGGGTTTGTACTTCTTTTGTCAAATTTAAAAAGAACCCAAAAGCTATTTATCCTGCTTTCCATGGAGAAGACACCTCGGCACCAGATTTACAACATCTCAGTTCAAGAGAAACAGGACAGACCAAATCCCTCTTAAAAGGCACATTCTGTCACTACATTGTGCAATCATCAGTAAACATCTCAATTTCTGATCTTATGATGAAAAGAAGGTTTCGATGAAGCATCTAAAGATGGTTGAGTCAAGTGTACTACTCTGAGGAACCTCTGCAGCAATGTACTCGGAGATGATTGTTATGGTTGTCAGAGGCCAATCTCCATTTGTGCTATGTATAACCAACCAGTGAAAAACTTTCCCTGACACCCACTGACTTCAATTTTGCTAAAGTGCCTTGTTGCTATATCTACTGAATGCTGATTTGATGTCAAGGCCAGGTTGCTCTCACTAAATTTCTTGAATTCAGTTCTTTAGTCCATGTTTGGACCAAGGCTGAGAGTCAACTAGTCAGGTGGTAACTAGCCAAGGTGGATTTATCCTGTTCTTTTAGGACAGGACATACCTCGGGCAATTTTACATGCTGGTAAATAGGTGCAGTCTTGTAACTATACTGGAATAGTTTGGCTCAGGGAGCAGCTAGTTCTGGAGCAAGTCTTGAAATTTACTGCCAGACACTGTCAGGACCCATAGCCCTTATGGTATACCAAAGTCACCAGTCACTTCTTGACCTCACAGAGTGAATCAAATTGGCTGAAGACTGGACTCTGTAGTATCACATAGTTTTGTCTGTCATATATTGTTACGACTGTTTAACATGTAATAATTCCTATATTTTAGCTTCACAGAGTCATCACCACATTTTTAGACATGTCTGCTGCTTAGACTGGCATGATCTATGCTCTACATAGCACAGTGAATAGAGGTTTTCCACAGGCAGCCAGCCACTCAATTTGGAATTAATTGGCCTCCTGTTGTTAAAGTTATAGTGTGAACAATGAATACCGTTTACAAAATGGAAAAAATGCACGTCAACAGTTGATTCTCTTGGAAAGAGAAATGAAAGGTTTTGCATCCCCTATGCTTGCACAGAAAGATGACATGAGAAATGTTGATAGCAGCAACTGAGTCAGTAACATAACTAACATTTCATGTCAATAATCTTCTATCAGAAGTAAAAAAAACTTAGATATATAATAGTTCTAAGTAAATGAAAGAGGATGGGTGGGAAAATGAACAAAAGTGAAGCTCCATAAACAGGCTGGAGGATGACAGAGGTTAAATGACAAAAATAGTGCAAGGCCAAAGGAAGTGACCATGGAACAAGGAAAGAAGCAAAACTTTTGTCTAGAGGTGGTATAAATGGAGGCGACGGAACACTTTGGAATGCTGAAAGGAGATGTAAAAAAGTATTTAGTGGTGAGTTATGCTAATAGTGGGGCAGCAATGGAGTATGATCCACTGAATATAAAGGCTTGTGGGATGCAAGGGAAGACCTGGGGAATTCAATACGCTACTGGAATGAAAGGGAAGAACAGAATCGCAGGAAATGGTATAGACAGAGTCAAAGACCCTGCCAACCAAGGTGGGGTAGTCTTCAGTTCAAGAAAAAGGAAGATATATCTCAAATCTCAACTGAGGAAATCTTGCTACTATCACTCCATTACACCTCCCTCCCCACTGCACGCACACACACCAACCATTGCTGACAACACTCTCATTTGTGTACATCAACTTATCATCCTCTACCATTTCTATTACCTCCAGCACGACATCACCACAATGTCTTTACCGCCTCTTTTATCATTCTTAAGGGACAATTCCATGACAGACTGATCCATTCCTAAATCACTCCAAAATACCCCTTCACTTCCCACAGCACTTTTCCATGCAAGTGCAGAAGACATAATTCCTGCCATTTCACTCCCTGCCCCGTCCCCACCATTGCACCCCCATTGTCCAAGGTTTCAAATGCTCCTTCCAAATGGAACAGTATAAACATGCAATTTTTTGCAAATATTCGCTGCTCACAGTGTAGTCTGCTGCTTTTTGGGGAGATTAAAGACAGATTGAAGAAAACCCCTGTTCACTCAATTTCTCACTCCATCGCTCAATTCTCACACCCACACACACACAGCCTAGGTCCAAGAGGCCTGCTTCACCATTTTGACCGCAGGTCTTCAGGGGGGCCAGTGCTTACACGGGAAAGAGTGAGTGTCAGCTTCCCCCGGCATCCCAGTCAGAAACCGTACTGCTGATCCACTTGCCAACTCAATCATTGACTCACTAGCTTACTCCCAAGTCTTGCTCCTGAATCCACTAAGCAAACAGCCTCTCCATTACTGTATCCTCTGACATCACAGCCTCACCACCACACCCATTGTTCAGGCCTCAAACTGAATGAAGGTAGAAATATTCTCATACCTTGCCACTCATCCAATTAAAAGCCACATCACTTTCACTTTTGAATGCTGACAGGTTCACCAGTGAACCCATCAGTAACAAATGCAAGAGGGAAAGGGCATCTTATTGTCGAAACAGCTGGTTCTTTGCAAAATCTACCAAATGTACTTACCTTGATTTGAAGCACAGGTTGTGGGCTAAATAAGAGAAAGCTGCATTCTGTTGGTGAAGCCTTCTCCAAACACATCTTTTATTCCCAGAATTTGCCTTTTGTTCTTTTGCCCACCTTCCTCCTCTTCATTTGCTTAAAATCTATTACATTTCTAATTTCTCAAGTTCTGAGGACAGATCCAATGACCTGAAACATTAACTCTGTTTCTTTCTTCACAGATGCTGACAGAGCTGCTAAGTCTTTCCAGTATTTTCTGCTTTTACTGAATATTTGTAAAACTAGAGCTGTAAGATTCAGAAGTGAAAATGGAACCAAACTTACATTCAAAGGAAACTTTGGTACATGTCTGCTGGACAGGGGTATTAATAAACAATACAGAAAAAAAAGATAGATAAGTGGAGCTGAGGTTTGATCAGCAATCAACGAACTGAATGAGAAACTGTAAAGTCCGAACCAAGTCACTCATTATAGGTAGTGTTAAGCAGTACACACAATAAATGAGGAGAAGCCAGATTCTGAGATGGAACTCAAATTTTGAGAATAATTTTTCAGAAGGTTTTCAATCGAGGAAAGAAACCCTCGAAGCGGAAGTTGTGATCAGCATGATCTAGGTAACTAAAAGTTCAATGAACAGAAGGCTGAAATCAAAGGAACAGAGACTTCGGAAGAGTTATCGGAGATTTCAGTGTGAGGGCTGGCAAGGTTTTGCAGAAATTGATTAAAAAGGCTGACAAATTTAAAGTTATCATGGGAAATTGGAAGTCCATTCTTAGTATGAGAAGCATGAGGTGACAGACGAACTTGATTCAGGTCAAACTATGTTTGGCAGAAATTTTGATAATTTGGAATTTATGGAAAGTGAAGAACGGTAGGTCAGTGAGAAAAGTTCTTGAGCGATGAAGTCTGGAATTGATTGTAATTAACAGCAAAACAGTTGTGCAGGAATACTCACCCAGTAACAGGACTGCATTTTTAAAAAATATTCAATAATTAGTAGAATTCTACCCATGTAATAATTAGCTATATTGCTATCACAAACACAGAAGCATAGTAGACCATTAAAGGAATACGTTATGAAGCTGGAGGATGAGAAATCATGGTCTTGGATAAAGTGTTGAGCTGTGATTACGCACACAGAAATGGGAAAAGAGAGAAATAGGCAAGTCAGTCAATTAGTAATACTCTAGTACATTTTCTTGAATAATCTCAAAACAGGACAGAGCCCTGAAAAGGGGGCTGCTCATCTAAACTCTTAGTTAAAGAGTGGTGCAAAGCACAAAGATACTCAAATGACAATGTGAAATAAATAAAACAGGCTGTTAAAATATCTCAACACTAAATGGAATTTATTAACCGAAGGCTTCTCACAAAAATAACACATGTCCTACCCACTGGGATGACCACACTACCCATTAATCACACAGTCATTAAGAAATTATGATGATGTATTAAAGGAAAACTTGAGTAAGTTAATCAAAATATCTTACGTACATAGTCAGCTTGCTCAACATATTCCAGTTTGTGTGTTACAAAGATGGTTGTTCTGTGTTCCCTCTTTAATATCCCCATGATCCCTTGGTGGAAGACATGGCTTCCTACATGTGCATCCAGGGCTGACAAAGGATCATCCAGAATTACAACAGAGCATCTAAATTAGACAAAAGGTAGAATATTTCAGTAAGTGAATATATGACTGCCTGTAAAACACAAAGTTCCAAAGCTTTCAATGCAAATTAAAATTTCAAATGGGTTATTAAAACACTTTTGAACATTTCAATATTTGAACACTAATGTCCAGATTTTTGTGGAGTCACAACTCACAGGTCTATAGTTCCCCAATTTTTCCTTACAACCTTTCTTTAACAAAGTTACAAACATTAGCCATCCTCCGTCATCAGGCACCTCACCCGTAATTATGAATGGGAGTAAGAACTCTTTTGGAATCCTAGGTTCAAAATCACCTTTTCCTCCGAAGCATTGGTCACTTCATAATTATTCATTTACTACATACAAAAATAATATCTGAAAGAAATCATCTAATTTTCAATCAAATTATACAGCATTTCAACATGCAGTCTCTCAAAAAAGCTTGTTCTATGGATTTACAAAGTTAAAGCAAGTTATTCATAAAACAAATTCCTCCTGTGAAATTGAAGGAAAAAATCTTAATACAGTTGATATTTTATTATGTATTTAGATGATGGCCCGGAAATGTCAGGAAAATACCATTTTTTGAAAATTGCTCTCAAACTTAAACATTTAAAAATGGTAAAATATATGCAATTCCAGCTGCCTATTTCATCAATATGAATTGTTCACAGGGTAAGTGGTACGCAAAAAGTAAATTTGAGAGAATAATTTAGTTGCAGCAGCAGTGATGGTATTTAGGGCAACGGCATCAGCATCGAGATCAGACAGCTGAGGTCTCCCCGGACAGCAAGATAAGCAGAGGACTCATTAAAGACTGCTGAACTTTTAACTTATTCCTTCTTTTACCCTAGTTTAAACTACGAAAGACTTTAATGTAAACTATTACCTATTCCTTTATTTTTCTACAATTCTATGAAGTAATACCTAACTTTTTAACTCTCGTTTCTCTTTTACTTTGTACCCAAGTTTTTTTTGTACCTTGGTAACTTGGTACCTAAGATGACGCCTTGTGTGGTGACATTATACACATTTCACTGTACTCCTGTACTTGAATACACATGACAATAAAACCTAAAATCTGAAAAGTCAAATTCCATATCTCAAAGTAAATACCTTTCATTGTTAGAATTTTCAATAGCTACTAACTTTCATCAGATACGATTAAATCCATGTGAATGATTTTTCATAATAAGCATTGAATTCAGCTTTTTATAAAATTGTAACAGTGAAGTAGTATAGATCCATCTTGGATTTCAATTTGAATATAGAGCTGTTTCCCTAATCAGGAGTGGCACTCACAGGCAGCATGTACCTGAAAATCACAGATGCAATATTTTTTTGAAAATGAGTCGATGGAAAATCAGGCAACAGGAGCCTACAACTTCCAAACGGGTACTTTTTCTTTCTGGAAGTGGACACCTGGTGAATCCATCTGTCATATTAACTGTCAGCTAATGTCTGCCATCATAATTAACCAACCGGAAAAATGTATCTATACCTTGAGTAGAGAGCCCTTGCAAGACTAACACGCTGTTTCTGGCCACCACTCAGATTAATACCCTGGAAAAAAAAACAAAACTAATGGATTTAATAAAGAAAAAACTAGGTTTTGTTTGAAATATTAACAGTTTCTGAATGATGCACATCTTTACTAATATTCTAATCAGCAAACAATTCGCAATTAAAGAAAGACCCATGATTTGTAACTTATGTTGTAGGTTGATTTACATGTCTTAGACATGAGGATCAAAGTGCAAAAGATCTAAGGCACCTTCTAAACACCACAGAAAAGCAATTTAAGAGTGTTGTTGAGGAATAAATATTTAACCTAATAAGGGATGGCCTGATCACTTAGCCAATTTATTCAGTGTATAGCTTAACTGTATAACTCAGGATGGACCTTATTTAGTGTATGGCTCATGGTGGGGGTATTTACCTCAGTGTTTCAAAATTAGAGAAGACAAAATGAGTGATTCTGCTCCTGACTGTGATCCAGAAAATCCTGTAGATATGTACAAAGATTTTAGGCGAGGAAACCATTTGGCTTTGCTAGTTCTATCCTCCACAGTGGTCAAATGGCTTGCCAACAAACAATTTCTTGGCTCACTCGGGACATGGGACTGGGGAATTGCCAAAGACCAAAGAGCCATTCATTAACAAGTCAGCATCTTTGCAGATGGGATGGGTGAAATGAAAATTAATAAACAGGGAAATACTTCTCCATCATCAATGTTATTACTTCTCAAAAGCTTCTGATAGATTTCAAATGAAAAGTCACATAATACGAAATTCCTCTGCAATCTGAAGTGGGACAAAACCCAACATCGCTGCACTTAAAATTAGGTAGTAGAATGTCAATTTAAAATCAATTTATTGCAGAAGCCTGGCTTGTAATCTTCTCATTCACTGCAAAGGAATTATATTTTATAAGGCTGTAATGTGGAGAAGGTCAAGTTGCAATTGATAAACTACAAGATTCAAGCTCTATGGATTTACAAATCAGCTGAAACCACTGAATGATTAAAAACAATCAAGCTATACATTATTCAATATATGGATACAATTATTTAATTTTTAAAGAAAGGTACAACTTTAGCTGGTTTAAATGGTACGAAAATATTTTCAATCAAAATTGAAAGCTTTCAAAGACACTTGATTTTATGCAAAATGTCTAGACCATATTTAAAAATTCTACATAATGTTCTGACACTTTCCCCATCAAATATTAAGAGGAAGACATACAAACAAACTGCAAGTGTTTGTATGTACACAATTATTCTGTCAGTGTACTAACCTTTTCACCAATTTCTGTAAGTTGCCCAGCTGGTAAAATATCAATATCTGGCTGAAGAGCACAAGCTTCGATCACAGTCTGAAAACGCTCTTCATCAAAACTTTCTTCAAACACAATATTATCCTGCAAGGAAGCATTCCTCAGCCATGCTGTCTGTGCACAATACGCTAGGGGCTGATTGGCTGACGCCCACACCACATGGCCAGAGACAGTCATCATTTCTCCTAATATGGCAGATATTAATGATGTTTTTCCACTTCCAACCTGAAGTGAATATAAAAAGGAAGGAAATTAGCTCACAACTTTGTTCAGACTTTCAACTCTGTTCAATTGTTCATCAATACAGTTTTCTTTATTATTCTATAAGAGCAGAACAAATAGAAGCAGGAAAGAGTTACTTGGCTCATAGAGCCTGCCATTCCTTAAGATCATGATTGACCGGACTGTGGCCTCAACTCCACTTTCTTGTCTGATCCACATAACCATAGAGACCTTTGATCATCGAAAATCAGACCCAGTTTAACATGGAAGATAATTCTTTGCATATTACATAGATATTGCTGGCAAAGCCAGCAATCATTTTCCATTCCTTTTTGTTCTTCAACCGCTGCAGTTCCTCCAGGTACTGTGAGGAAGGGACTGCCAGGTTTTTGACCCAGCAGCAGTGAGAAAAAACAATGTGGTTCCAGGTTAGGATGGTGAGTGGCTTAGAGGGCAACTTGCAGATGCCAATTGTCCTCATGCATCTGCTGCTCTTGTTATTCTAAGTCGTAAAGGTCACGTTTTTGGAAAGTGCTTGTGAAGGGGGTTTGACAAGTTGCTGCAGTGATTCTTGTATATCGTCCACACTTTTGCCACACTATTCCAATAGTGGAAAGAGCGAATGTGTGAAGTTTTAGATTAATATTGATCAAGTGGATTACTTTATCCCAAATGATGTTGAGTTCCTTCGGTATTGGAGTTGCACTCATCCAGACCAGTGGAAACTGTTCAATTAAAAACTCTTAACTTGTGCCTTGTGGATGATGGACAGGTTTGTGGGAGTCAGGATTTTTGAGCTAATCACTACAGAATTTCCAGCCACAGATCTGCTCCAGCAGCTGTAACATTTAAAGGTCGGTCCAGTTAAATATTTGGTCAATATTAACCCCCAGAATGTCAATAGTTGGGGATTCAGTGATGACAATACCATTGAACAAGAGCGGAGAGAGTTTAGATTTGAGTAGTACTTATATAATGTAAACGTTTGCATAAGATGTCACATCAAAGGTTATTGTGGAAAATAAAAGCTGTATGTAGCAGGTAAGATATTGGAATGGAAAAAAGTTTGGCTGGCTAATAGGAAGCAGAGAATAGGTGTAAATGAGACTTTTCAGGCTGACAAGATGTAATGAGTGGTGAGCCACAGGTACAGCTGCTGGGACCTCAGTTGTTCATAATTTATAAAATGACTTTAATGCAGGGATGAAAGGTAGGGTTTCCAAACTTGATATCACAAAAATAAAGGAAAGTAACGATGAGGACACAAGCAACGTTCCCTCTAATTTTCTTACTTTTATAATTTCTGAGGCCCATGCACGACAGCAACACCAGAACCAAAAGTCATGCCGCTACTGGCATGGTGACATTGATCATTGTGTGCAGAATATCAAAGCAAATGACAAATAGACTCCAATGTTAGAATGTGAAGTGGTCCATTTTGGTTGAAAGAATAAAAAAAGCTGCATATTATCAAAAGGGTGAGTCATGTAGAACTCTGATACGCAGAGGAATCTGGGTATCTTGTGCATAAATTAGAGAAAGTTAGCATACAGGTAATTGGGAAAGCCAACAGAACGCTATCATTTATTGCCATGGTCTCCAACATGACTGGTCGATGGCAGAGTCTCCGACAGTCAGTCCCACTGTCTGCATTCCTTCACTGCAGGTGCATGGATTATCACACATGACTTTCACTTATGGAAGCTGCACTGATAGCTAAAAGCACATGCACTTAACAGACTTTACCAGCTTAATGCATAACGTTTCAATTTGTTCCAGATGGACCATCATTGCTGGGTAAAGCAAGTTTATTGTAGCAATGTAAACACATGAAGAAATAGATTGGAAACTGATGTATGAAGCCAGTATATTACGGTACTAGAAACATAAAAGGCTATTCAGCCTATCGCGTCCAAGTGGACTCTCTGCAACAACAGCTCAGTTAGTCCTGCTACTCTGCTAATTCTCTGTGGACCTGCAGTTATTTTCCTTCAGCTGCTTATTTAATAGGTCTGTGCAGGATGAAGAAATAATAAAGGCAATGCTGCCACACCCCACATTCAATATCCAAGCAACACAAGCTGACCAGGTGCCCTGGAAACAAATCGCAACCACAGAAGTGACCCCCATGTTTGAAAGCAGCATGACCAGCAGCAGAGTGATGTCACAAACTATAAGGTGAAGCACTGATGAGGAGTGATGAACCTGGACCATCCAAGGAGAAAGCAAAACTATACAGCTTCCACGTAAAACAAAAAATAAGTTTCTGTTCACAATTGTAAAAGATAGGTGCTTGCCTTATATGAAATCCAAGTTAAAAAAGGGTAATTTGGAATGACATACAAGAATGGACAGTAAATTCAACAATAGTTTTCACTTAAACCACATTTTTTGGATAAAGACAATTGATGAGCTGAAGTTTGTATTGGAAGCTCAACAGTCATTTTTTTGCTTAAACCAGAAGAAACCATTCACAGATGCCAAAGTAATTAAAGAAACAGTGACTATTCAAAGACTTTAGTAACAAGAAAGAAAAAACAACAGCAATCCAGGCTGTACCACTTGGTACTTCCACCGTAGGTACACAAGTGAAATCTTTGCATGAAGACATCTTTCAGCAACTACAGCACGATCTGAAGGACTGCAAATACTTCTCACCGCAGTTTGACAAATCCGTGACAAGAATAACATCAGTCCAGTTGATTGTTTTTGCGTGCACGTTTTATTTAAGGGCTTAACAACTAAAGAGGATCTTATCACCCCTTTGCTCCTTAAAGACAGAACAATGAATTTAAAAAGGTAAGTGCTTGAGAAAACTATTTCAATCAAGGAACTGGTTTCCATCATAACTGTCGGTACAACAGCCATCTTTGGTGCAAATTCAGGTGTTGTTACATTTTGCAGACATAATCCTGATTTCCCTTCATTTGTAAATTACCACTGTATAATCTACCAACAAGCCTTAGCCAGTAAATTTATGGATTTTTCTCATGTAGTGAACCTTGTTAAGATTGTACACCTGATTCAAGCAACAGCCTTTCAGTCCCACTTGTTTAAATCCTTACTGAATGACGGGAGGGATCAATGACCAGGGGCATAGATTTAAGTAAGGGGCAGAAGGTTTAGAGGAGATGCAAAGAAAATCTTTTTCACCAAGGGTTGGTGGGATTCTGAAACTCACTGCCTGTAAAAGGTAGTACAGGCAGAAACCCTCATAAGATTTACGAAATATTTAGGTGTGCACCTGCGATGCCAAGGCATACAAGAGCTGGTCCAGAGGTAGGGAAGGCAGTGGGTTCAGCTCCTGGGGGAAGTAAAGACAGATTGGTTTGGATCTGGAGCATGGATTTAGAATGGTGGAGGGTGCGGCAAGGAATTTGGGAGGTGGCGGTGGGGGGGGTTCAGGTCAGCTCCCAAGGACCAGAAGGCCAATCGTGTCAAGAGAATGGAATCATGGGAGATGAAGGGGGATTAAGATAGGAGGAGGTGCTATGTGTCACTTAACTAGATCACCGTTGATCTGCAAACTGACTTAATCTGCTTGTTTTTGACTCACATCCCCTATATATGAAAACTCTATTAAACGCAAGTCTTAAACATTCAATTTGATCTATAATCTTCTGGGGGTGATGAGAGAGCAATTATAGATTTTTGCTCTGCTTTGCATGAAAAAAGTACCTGAGTGGCCTTTCTCTAATGAAATTGTGCCCTTGTGTTCTGGATTCTGTCAAGAAAGAATAGCCTTGCTAAATCTATATGATGAAATCCTTTATTTGAACAACTCAAAATGTCAACCATGTCTTCTCCACCCCCACCAAAATATGTTTATCTTCTTGTTGGTCTCAGCCTCTACTTGCAAATCAGCTCAATGTGATATTTCCATGACCAACATCACAAAAATGTAAATAATATTGTTGACCTATTAAAATATTTATAGATATAAATCTTACCTTGCCAATTATAACGGTAACTTTGCTTCTGGAAATTTTTAATGAGATATCCTGAAGTACAGATTTGTCAGAATTTCTATTCCAAGTAAAACACCCATTGTGGATCTCCAGCACATTGCCATTACTAGAAGAGAAATAATATATTGCATTCAACTTTTAAAAAACATTTTCTTACATTTATAGTTTTTGTGAGAAAGACTAAGGTAATGGATTTTTGAAAAGTCTGAAATTTTCCCTCAATTTTTACATTTCATTCATGTTGAATATCATTTTAAAAGTATTTCAAAATGTAGGCATAAAGAAAAATGGAGAGAAAACAAATTAAAGTTAACATTCACAATCATACCAGAAATGCGAGTCCTCCCAAAAATCTTACCCATAAAAGTAGTGCTTAATATACATAAACATGGATCTGCTCCAAATTAAACATTCAGTAAATAAGTCAAACTGTTATTTTTATGTAGGTAGCATCTATGAAAGGAAAGGGTAAAAAGTGTGTTAAACTGAGGCTGGGACTTTTTTCACTGGAGCCTGCATGGTTGAGAGGCCACATACAGAAGTTTATGAGATAATGAGGTGTAACAGATAGAGTTAATGGTAGTTATCTTTTCTCCAGGATGGGGCATTTCAAGACAAGGGGACACATTTTCAAGGTGAGAGAAGAAAGATTTAAAAAAAAAGGGACAATTTTTTTTTTAAAAAACACAGAGGCTGGCTCATGTATGGAACGAACGTCCTGAGGATATGGGTGGAATTACAATATTTAAAAGACATTTGGCTATGTACATGAATAAGAAAGATTTGGAGGGATATGGGCCAGAAGCAGTCAGGTGGGACTAGTTTAGCTTGGGATTATGTTTGGCATGGAATGGTTGGACTGAAGGGTCTGTTTCTGCGCTGTATGATTCTATGAGGGAAAAATGGAGAGTTGGGATGAGTTGAGGTGGTGAGAAGGGCACACTGACCTGATCTGCAATGGAGGAAGGAGTAAAATGCCAACACTGATTAAAAGGAAAGGTGAAGAATGAATTGAGCTTGAGGAAAGGTGGAGAATTATGCAATTGTGTCATTGGGGTGGCGGTAGGTAAATGACCCAGCTTCACACTTTTGTTCATTATCCTAAAACTACACTTGGAATATATGCTTATGAATGTCACACAAAGACAGAATAATCTGTGTTGCCTCAATAGTAGAATATCCTACCAACAATCACAATTGAGGCTTGCAACAAAAATAATGACAACTTGGGCATCACGAAAAGGAAAAATAATGGAGACAATACACGAGATAAAATCAATTTCACCTTTTCTTTCCGACTCTCTTCACAAGGTCAGGCAGACTATTTGAAGAGGAATTTTGAAGTTAATAAAAAAAATTATATTTAGCTACAAGACATGAAAACTATTATATAGAAGATACAGTGATCAGAAAAGGTAGGTGATATAAGCAATATAGTATAATAATCCTAATTGCCTATTGAATCACCTAAGTTGAACATTATGGTTTCATCTTAGACAGATCACTTTCTGTCTGAATTTTCCTGCTTGTATGGATAATTTCATCATAATAGGTTGAGTATTAGCAAAGATAAACATGTCTGCAATGCACTGCAATGAAAGGAATGAAGGAGAGAAAGCAAGGAGTAGCCTTCTAATGTATGTAAATGAAAAGCCTGAAGATGGTTTGGAACCTATTCTCCATGAACTAACTTCAGAATGTTTAGAAAAGCCCAAAGGCCCAAATTAGGCCTGGCCTCTGGTCCCCTGATTCAACTGTGCATTGCAACTGCATCATTCATTTCACATCAGAAATTAGGCACCAATGAAATCCAACTCCTTTAAATTAACAAAATTCTGTTCAGGCCTAAACAGTAAAATCCAAAAGATAATTCTCTTTCGATAGGCTATGTGTTGTACCTTTTCAATTCTGTACTGAAGTAATTTTGAACAACTTCTAATCATAGAATCCTTGCAGAGCATAAAGAGGATTTGGCCTATCAAGTCTGCACTGACCCTCCAATGAATATTCCACCCAGCTCCCAAACTTATCCCTGCATTTAACATGGCTAATTCACTTAGCCTGCGCATGCCTGTACACTACAGGCAATTTGGCATGGCCAATCCGTTTAATGTGCACATCTTTGGACTGTGGGAGGAAACCAGAACAACTGGTAGAAACCCATGCAGACACAGGAACAATGTGCAAGCACCACACAGATAGTTACCAGAGGCTGGATTCGAACCCTGGCACTGAGGCAGCAGTGCTAACCACTGAGCCGTGCTGCTCTATAGTAAAATATTGTAGTAAGTCGTAAAATCCTCTTACTTTTTTGGCTCCAGAAATAAAATTATTTATGCTGTAGTTATTTTGAACCCCCTTAATCAGCCACTATGGTGCCAAACTTGTTTTTTTTTACTTTTCTCATAGGAATATATTTAATTCCCATATCCTTCAAAGTAGTCTTAAAATATTTTGTATTTTTAGTTCAATTTCCCACTTAATCTTCAAACTTTTCTCATAGCTCCATATTTAGCTCTCAGCATTCTTCTACATCTATATTATTTTTGGCCTTCATCTTGATTATATTTCTCAATAGAATTCAAGTAGCAAGAATGTCAAAAAATGATGATGATCTGGCCAATAAAGCCAGAAAAAATATGCCAACAAGAAACTTCCTTCCAGATAGACTTACAAAAGACAAGGGGACCCTTCATAAAATAATTTGTCTACTTTAGCTGCACCCTAATAATTCCTTAACTTGACAAACTTGGAGATGGTCATCAATCATCATGATGCTCAAAAAAAATTGATAACCCAGTATTGACATAACCATGACAACAATATTAATGCACTGTGCAGGAGGTATGGTGCAATAAAACTGTATACAGATGTCACAAAATAAGCATGACATATTTTTAATGAAGTTATACAAATTAATTCAACATCATGCCTCGTTAAGTTTAATTGCACTAATAAAATTCCAAAAATAGATTTGGTAAGTTCTCCTCATACATTTATAAAATATCATGGGAGATGGGTTTCACTTCTAGGCCAGCATTTATTACCTATCCTTGGTGGCCCTTGAGAAGGTGCTGGTGAGCTGCCTTCTTGAACTGCTCCTGTCTTTGGGGTGCAGGGACACACACAGTGCCATTTGATGATGTAAAGGAATAATGACGTAGGCCTAAGCCAGAATGGTATATGGCTTGGATGGGAATTTGCATGGTGGTATTCCCAGACATCTATAGGCCTAGACTGTTGGTAGAGGTCGCAGATTTGGAAGGTGCTGTAGAATAAGCCTAAGCAAGTTGCTGCGTTGCATTTTGTAAATGGTACACACTGCTGTCATTGTGCATTAGTATTTAAGGGTATAAATGCTGGGAGTGGTCGGTAAGATGCCTAAGGACTGCCTACTCTATCCTGAATAGTATTGAGCTTCTTGAATATTGACTCAATATCTGAATAGTTAGCTAACTATGGATGGACAAAAATAATGCCAAAATTTCAATCTCCATGCATGTGTTACATTTTTTCCACAGTTCAAGAAAAGATAATAGTCAAGTATCAGTCTGGTTCAATGAAGTCACTCCAAGTCAAAGTCATGAGTTCAAGCCCCACTCCAGTACATCTGATCTGTGCTGACACTTCACCACCCTACAGAATCAGCACACCATTATTGCAGCATTTGTTTAAATATGGACTTTTCTTCAGATATTAAACCAAAGCTCTATTTCCGATGATACTACTCAAAGTGGAGAGTTCTTCTAATGTCCTGATCAACAGGTATTCTTGAAACACCAGCATCAAAATAGATTAATTGAAAATTACTCACTGTGAGGTTCCACAATTACAATATGGGACATACTGGTTGACAGACTATCTACAAAGTAACACTTCAATAGAAATTAATTTACTGTGAATCACTTTAAGATTAATAGGTGAATTTGAAATTTAAATGCAAGTTCTTAATTAAAGAACATTGTAGTAAATGACGTGTCAGAAGGAATAATGTTGTTCCAAATCTAGTGTGCATTACTGGCTGGACTTTTACACAAAAAGTCTTGCCTTGTGTCAATTAATGCCTAGACAGCTGTTAAGTCACTCTAGGGGGATGCACCCAAGCAAAGGTAGGCTCACCTCCAACTTTTCCACTACCTCTCTTTAAAGTTCTAAACTATAGTATCACAAATCTATTTAAATTGCTCTGTAACAAAAAGTACATCCATGGTGGCATTCCAGATTGAAAGGAAATTGCAAACTGAGAAATTAGCTAACAAGGAACTATTTCAATATTTTAAACAATCAGAAAAGAAGAAAGAAGAACTGGAGTAAAACATAAGCTCTAGATAAACTTAACATATGTGTATGTAAGTATACTGACTGTGACAAAGCTGGTTAGTCGCTATGTGGGACAATGATCAGTGACAATAGATGGATCTTTGTCTTCAAGGTGGGTAGCAGGAGTTGGGAAAATTGCAGATTCCACGTTCCCCAGGAAAACAGGCTCCGAAAGTACAATATTTATCGTGAGGAGGTGGGTGCAGTTTAGAGTCAAGCTAGCTGACTCTGGAAACAGAACAGAAACAACCACAGTAGTTAACAGGTGTTTAAACAGGTTGTTTAAAAGGCCAACTCCAGTGCTGTGGAACTTCGTCCCAGTTATAATAAAAACTACAGGCACCTCTAGCCCTTACCCTAACACACCCTACTATGCCCCATCTATGCTAGCTCAAATCCCTCCACCACGGCTCCCCATACCTTCTATAACAAGTTATGGCATTTCCGTGCCCATTCACCTATTGCATAGAACCAATGAAGCCAAAATGACTAGATGTGTCAAAAAAACTTTCTCAAGAAAATGAGTCATTCATAACTCTAGCCTTGCTTGGAAATCTCTACTCACCAAACGCCAATAGAAGTGTCAATCAACCAGATCACTTAAAATATCAATATCTGAAAGTGCAAGAACTTGAAATTTCTTTATCTTGTGTAAACAATTGTTGAAGTGATAGAACAGATCAGAAAGCCAAATCTGTCAATCCAATGTTCTCCCTGGAATTCTGCTGTTTGAATCTTCTAATGGATGTCTGGGCTCTCAGTCAAGCCTCATTACACATTTTTCCAGATGCAACATGCTTGATCTGGAAGTACAT